GAACATTTAAAAAACTCATCATGATGTAACATTAGTTTCTGTAGTCTAAGCAAAGCAGGGCTCGTTTCCATACCTCTTCAGCAGTGTTCAAGTCCATGCCCTTGTTGAGATGCTCCTGCAAGTTAGACACCATGGCGTTGTTGCCCGGTACACGGTATATACCAGTGTACTCCAGACCAGTTGCCTCTACAACACCACAACACATCTCCACTATTAGAGGAACAAACTGATAAGAGAAAGCAAGGGAGACAAAAGAGGGAAAAATAGACAATAAAAAAACGATTTCAACAAACAGATTTTCACCTACAACCTCAGCATCACGTGACAATCACACTCCGTCTGAACATATACTTTATTTGAAATAAGTTATTTCTGGAACAGTTGCTTTAGTGGCTTGTCTCGGTCTGTTCCATTGATCTTTTTGGGAAAAGTGGGGACCTTGGACAATAAGATGGACATGATTAGTGATCAAATTAAGAGAATGACAAAATAATGTTCTCTGCTCTAACAGTGCCTTCACAGGGTCCAGTTTCAGCTCAACAACCGAGCTGCCCTTTTGATTATTTCATTTAACTGGAATTATTAAACAAAAGGCAAACGTTTTCAAGCATAGCAGAAATCCAAAAATGGAGCAGAAAATAAAGCCAATAAATCTAAATAGAAGACACACCAAAAAGGTGAAAATCTAAACCAGAAGTAAACTAAGAAACAAACTGAAAATGAATAACGAGAACTTAAATGACCAAAAAAACATACGTACTTGGTAAAAGCACCTGACACTATTACTCACAGACACCTCATCAGAAATACTCTCAGTAGAAGACAATACAATAACACATGGGTCATCACATGGTAATGTCTCTTGCTTGCTTCTCTATGTGAAGGCTGTCTCTGGAAAGGACCCCTTCAAAGTCAGTGTGGATTTAATATGTGCTTGTATACCAGTAGACTTACCTTTGTCCCAGCCATCACCTGCTCTGCGGCCCTTCGGTCAGTTCACTCTAACTTAGATTTCTACTTGTTAACAGACTCTGCTAACTTTGATTCCTTGTGTCATCTTTAGAAGGCTTTTTCCCCTCAGAGAGCCCAGGTGGTGGAGCACAAATAGATCCTCCACCATCTTGCTACCAAATAAGAATGAGGGCTTTAACAAGTAACAGTATGGCGCAGATTATTTGCTCTCAAAATTAATTGCCTTTCACAGTTTACATCTCTCAGAAGCATCAGAGAGTCACTATCAC